TATGTACAGTGGGTTTCACTCCGGATTAGGCGAAACATTCTGCATGGAGCAGCGCATGCGCATCGTTGGAGGCTTCGTTAGCGCATAGCCCTGACTTTGCCAAGTAAAGACTAAGGAGAATGACGAGACGCAGGCTTGGGTTCTCGGCGCGATATGATACACTATAGCTGCGAAACGGTGCGAACCGTTGCGAGGCGCCCGCCAATCCAATTTATTATTATATTATTTATTGCGTAGGAAATTCCTATGCATATTACATTCAACAGAACACTAAGTCTAATCAACAACACAACTCAACACAGCAAATCAGATCAAATCACACAAATTAACACGACAAATCAGAAAGGCCTAACAATCGTATGAAGGAATTACGGCGAAAGAAGATAGTTCTCAAGAATCATTTTGAACTGAGACAGTTTGAAAGGAAGCATACCCCTTCTCATCAATTTATCTAAATTGCCGCTGACTCTGCTTGTGAAAAATCTTCTCACATTCCTCCCTGCTCTTGGTATTACCATTTTTTGAGGTACCCCTCTAGTAATAGAACTTCTGGTCTCAAAGAAGTTGGCAGGATTGAGTTGGCAGTCTCCGAATAATATTTTGTGAGCCATAATAAGATCAAACTTCCGTCTTCTATTGGACAGGCTGACCAATCCTAAGACCTTATTTCGATCCTTTCCGTTGGGTAGAAGCTCATATTTGAGACCTCTGGTTCTAATCAACAACTTCCTTGTAAAGCTGTTTTGCACTCTTTCTAATACTTGTACATTTCTCCGCTTCGTTGGATTGAAAATTACCGTTCCATACTCCAATAAAGGTCTTATATACACCTTATATGCCCTCATGAGAATATCAACATCGGTTGTGGAAAGTGCTCTAAACAGACTATATACTGCCGAAATTCCTTTAGCTGCAACATTTTCGCAATGTTTATCGAAATCCAGCCGACTATTCACTAAAAACCCTAGATCTCTTATCTCTTCAACATAATCAAGAACTTCTCCTTTTATGCGATAATTGTAATCGATAACCGGAGGTCCTAGGTGAAGAACTTTGGTTTTATCTCGTGAAATGGGTAATTTCCAGGTATCAGACCATTCTACTATTCGGTTTAGTGCTTCTTGCATTTTTTCTTTGTCTGCTATTCCTGCTACTGGATTGTATATCTTGAAATCATCGGCAAATCTACAGCATGTCACTCCTGCCTCAGAAACTAACTGAGGAAGCTCATATGTGTAGATATTGAAAAGAATTGGAGACAGCACTCCGCCTTGTGGGACTCCACTAGGCATTGTCCTCAGGCTAGAAAAAGCTTCTCCAATATGAACACTGGGTACGATTATCTAGAAAGGAAGCAATCCACGAAACAATAAAGGGATGAGTTCCAACTAGTTTAGTTTTAGTATAAGTCTCGAATGCGACACCTTGTCAAATGCTTTTGTAAAATCCAGATAGACAACATCAATCCCCCTATTATCTTCTAATTAACGAGTCCAATCATTCAGTGAGTACAACATGGAAGTTACGGTTAATTTTCCCTTCTGAAATCCGTGCTGTGCTTGTGAGATTATACTTTGATCTTGCAAATGTCTTAATATTAGCTTTTTGATAATTTTCTCAAATAATCTGGCAAAAATTGATGTTATACTCACTGGCCGATAATTGGAGACACTACCATGTTGTTTCTTTTTAGGAATAGGTGTCACAAAAGAGACCTCTCACCTATGCGAGACTTCTGATCGCATCAAGCTAAGACTGAATATGAACTGTAACGGTTTTCCGCCTAGAGCGGGCCGAAACTTACTGTATAAGCTGCTGCATGACGAGGGCGCAATTTTTTTAGGCGCAAACGCGCTCTATTAGCCGCGCATGAAGCGCAGGATTTACCTATAACGGTGAAGATACGAAGGCGTCGCGTCTGCTCCTGCTCAGGTAATCATCCTCTGCGCCTTCGTCCTGCAGAGCCTTACCTCAGTTCGGTCTGTCACAGATGTTCTTCTGAGACTACCCCTTTTGGCGACATATAGTCCTGCACCCATGTCATATTACTCCGCATCAATCCAAACTCGTTCGAAAAAAAAGCAGCGTGCTCAAACAGCCGGATCAACTCGAAAGGCGTTCGCAGGCAGACTGAGGGTTACGACACAATCTCTTCTTATTTGGGGACTGTATCGTTCGGTTTTTTTCTTGAGTCGTGCGCACTTCGCTTGCGACAGCTTGCGCAGCATGTATTTGGATCTCTATTCGCTTTGGTGAGACCTGAAATCGCAAACTGCGACATCATCTTGTGCGCTCGCGTGTCCTGTGTGCTCATCAAATTCGGAACCGATCCGAATGGATGTAGATTACGGGCAACTATGACCCCTCCTCATTTTTTGTGCAATAAGCAACATGAAGCAATTTGTTGAAATGGATATTCCGTCGGTATATGGAACCAGTGCGTCACCTCTGCTTCGCAGAGGCTCGCACTGGTTCTCCTATCTGTATGCCTCACTCCGCATAATACCTTGACATTGGAACTTACCGCGTAATGCCTGCCTTCACAAATCGTAAACAACTATTCATTCCGAAAGCTTTTTCGTGTGAGATCGGTATTTTGTGTGTATGAAACTTTGAAAGATGGGGAACAAATGCAGATTTAGAACACTTTTGAATTTTTTTTTTCATGACTTGATAGTCGCCATATAGATAGCATCCATGTGACCTACATCCGTGTGCAAAAATTTCCCAAAATAATCATGTAATACTGTGGCAAACCCGTCATTCACGCAACCAATTTGTTTTGACGCCGTTTTTGTAGAGTGATAGACTTATCACTTTTTGGGCTAGACTTCTGGCTTGCACATTGATTTGCCAAACATGACCACAACTCTGGAAGTGGTGATACGGACCCAATTTTGCACGCCAAAAGCTAGGTGGATCCATTCGAAGTGCAATTTTTGAGCGACCCACCCATCGGATCCGCTTGTGCTTTTGCATAGAGAATCTAGGTGTTGGTAGAGTGCACTATGCTACAAATTGCGACCTGAAATTTTTTTTGCGACTTGTTCTATGATTTTCGTTACAGACACACAGACACGTTATTATAAGTCATCCTACTATAATGACGCGCTAAGGCCGTCTGTTTTGTGTGTCTGTGTGTCTGTGTGAAAATCTGTCTGTCACGAAATTCATAGAGGAAGCTGCAACTATGCTATCGGGCTGCAATTTTGCATAACATACCGTGCCAGCGTGTAGGCCCACCATGCGCAAGGACGAGTCGTTTCGATAAGCGGGTCCCTAAAAATTTGCGCGTCAAACGGGTCCACGCGCTTTTTGGCACGCAAAACTGGGCCGCTAGTTCGACTTTTTGCAAAGATATGATTTGCTTGACAAGTAACTCTGCGCGCCATGATTTTTAGCCCAAAAAGTGCTCAAAAAGTTTGCTTTTTTGCGAAAACAGCGCCAAAAAGTGATGAAAACGTAGATCCGATTTGGCAAGTTTTTTTGAATACTGAAAAGATTTTTGCACTGAAATGTAGCCCAGGGTGACTATTATCCTTATAACCAATATCAGACTAAAATAAATTGAGTAATCCGTCTAAATTCGCATTTCTCCTGCAACAAAGTTTTTTTTCTCAAAATTACCGATCTTACATGGAGATGCTTCATGAATGCACAGTTGTATTTCATTTGTGATACTCAACATCGCGTGGTGAGTTTCAAAGCCATTCTCATGCGAACATGAGAAAGGCATACGGATAGGGAGCCAGTGCGAACTTCCGCGAAGCGGAGGTGACGCACTGGTGATATTATAAGTCACTAGCTGGCTTACCCGGCTCCGTCCGGCCCTGTCAAAACACTATGGTAAAGCTCTCATCCCTATCCCACTACAACTTTCCCTGTGCCCACATGCCAATTCAATCTACATGCCAATTCACTATTGCCGCTGTTTTAGTAATCAGTATCCTCGATTACTCCCCTATGCCAACTCTCAGCCCCGTAGCTCAAACTTTGCAAAATAAATTGGTAAAAGTAGTCGTTAATTCCAGAAACTGATATTGTATTCCAAATCGCCATGCCCACCTACCCCTGTGTGCCATCTTTCAGCCCCGTAGTTGAACTCTGCAAAAAATCGATAAAAATTGATAAAATCAATATCGATCGACGACGAAAAGTAGCCTATGACACGCTCTCCGCCCCGAAGTGTATGTGTGCCAGGTTTGGTCCGGATGGGATCCGAAATAAAAATTTCTATTGGGAACTTACGTACAGACATACAGACAGACAACAGACATTCAACTTTATATGTGAGATGATAGTCGGGTCGTGCTTGCTATAAACACCTAGAATCAACAAAGTTCTATTCTGACTTGGTTTCTATTTTCTATGTTCTAGTCTAATGTTCAACGAAGTTTTATTTTCTTATGCGTTTGTAGAAACTAGTGACCAATTCCTTTACTTCAGAATCTTATATATAAAGCTGAATGTGTGTCTGTCTGTCTGTATGTCTGTCTGTACGTATGTGCGGAGAAGAAATTTTTATTTCTAGACCGATTTGTACCAAACTTAGCACACATACACTTCGGGGCGGGAAGCGTGTCATAGGCTACTTTTTCGTCATCGATCAATATCGATTTTACCGCATTTATCGATTGTAAAGTTTGAGCTACAGGGCTGGGAGTTGGCATAGGAGGGTAATCGAGCATGCTGATTACGAATACAATTTTAGTTTTAAAATCTTCCATTACTTTTATCGATTTTATCGATTTTTTGCGAAGTTTGAGCTACAGGGCTGGGAGTCGGCACAGAGGGTAAGTGGGCATGCTGATTTCGAAAACAGCACAGGGAACGGGAAATGAAGTGTAGAAGTGGGCACAGGGAAAGGCTGTACAGGGATAGGAATGGGACCTTTATTAATGTCTTGACAGGGCCGGAGCCGGGTAAGCAAGCTAGTTTTTCAACAAAGTGCTCTGATATCTGAAAACACTCCTATTTAGGTGCTCTCATTCAGTCTGAGAATGTCATCGCTAAATTGTGCATGCAGTCAAGCCGCTTATGCTTCATGTGCTCCAGATTATTGCTGGAACAGGTTTGTTCAGACGTTTACCTAGTTTTGAAAGATGTGCTTGATACCAGCATCTGTGAAGGTCCGCGAGAATTATGAGCTTGAACGTAGTTCGCGTACTCATCATTTACCCGGTCGTTGCTATCCTTGCGCTGTTTCTGATCTGCAGCATGCATGACCAACATGTTACAGGATAAAGGGTAAAGAAGTCGGCGTCTTCAATAACTTTTGCGGGCATGCCTCGAACGCACTTTACTTCGTAGTCAAAGAGGGCACTGAATGCGTGCATTTATCACAGTGACTTGCGAGGTCCAGCCGGTTATCAAGTTAGTACTTTTATCCTCCCACATTATTCTTACCAATATACTGCTCCCGAAGGTTAGAGGGCTTGGTTAGCCCAGGGGCGAAGTCGAGTTTAGTCCGACCTGGTCACAGTTTAGTCCGATCTGGCCACCTCATAGTACTACGGCCCTCATCCAGAGGTGCGATGGGGGGAGCCGGGCCCACCAAAAGTGAAGGTGGTCCCAGCTACCACTGGCCGGCCAAAAGTGAAGGTGGTAGTGCCGAACACTCACCTCCCAAAAACGTCGACCGGTTGGGGGGGGGGAGGGGGGAGCATTAACGTCTATCCTTCCAGGTGGTTACCGCCAGTGCGCGGAAAATAAGCAAAACAAATGCAAAAGGGATTACTGCAAGCATATTTTTATGTATACAGCGTCATAAATATCTAAAATAAACGTGCTTATCAAATAGTGTATTTGGAAGTAAAAGTTTGTTGGACTGTACAGATTTTATTAAGTAAATTTTGTCATAACATACTGCGAAGGAAGTAGGTCGATCTAGGCAGTAACGGCCGAGAACCAGAATTTTGAATATTAAAATAGTGAAAAATCATGCAAAATTTCCACTGTTGTAAATCTGTTGTTTGAAGATTTCAGCAGTTGCGACTTCATAGGTTCTGAAGAGTAAATGGTGCTCTATCAGACTGTGAAGGGATCGAGTCGATTTGAGAGATAGTCGTTAAAAACCAGAATTCTAAAAATTTACGCCATTTTTGCGTGTTTTTTGAAAGTTGACAATTAAACTCTTATGATTCTTGATTGTGAAAGTGTGTGATATTGCGACTTCATAGATTTATAGAGTAAGGTTTGCCTTATCTGAATATTTCTTAGCCGTACCGATCCATCGAAACATTGCCGAGATCCAGAGTCTTGAAGAAACAGGTAAAAAAGCGCTTTTTGAAATTCAACAGCTCATAACTCTTCAGAACTGCATGAATCATGTAGCGACTTTATATGTTAGATTCTTCTCATCAAGAGCTTTCAGATGATATATAATATGTGGGTGTTTAGAGCCTCCTACGAATTATGCCCGTGGGGGAGCCTTTTCATACCAAAGTCTCCCCTCCAGTACATTGAAGTGGGCTAGGGGGAGACTTTGATATGAAAAGGCTCCCCTCACGGGCATAATTCGTAGGAGGCTCTAAACCCCCACATATCTTATATCATCTGAAAGCTCTTGAAGAGAAGAATCTAACCTATGAAGTCTCAACATGATTTATGCAGTTCTGAAGAAGTTATGAGCTGTTGGACTTCAAAAAGCGCTTTTTTACCTGCTTTTTCAAGACTCTGGATCTCGGCACTGTTTCAGTGAATCGGTACGGCTAAGATATATTCAGATAAGGCAAACCTTACTCTACAAAACCTATAAAGTCGCAACATCACACACTTTCACTTTCAAGATTTAGATGAGTTTAACTGTCAACTGTCAAAACACACGCAAAAATGGCGTAAATTTTTAGAATTCTGGTTTTTAACGACTATCTCTCAAATCGACTCGATCCCTTCACAGTCTGATAGAGCACCATTTACTCTTCAAAACCTATGAAGTCGCAACTGCTGACATCTTCAAACAACAGATTTACAACAGTGGAAATTTCGCATGATTTTTCACTATTTAAATATTCAAAATTCTGGTTCTCGGCCGTTACTGCCTGGATCGATCTACTTTCTTCGCAGTGCGTTTTGACAAAATTTACTTCATGAAATCCGTACAGTCTCGCTGACTTTTACTTCCAAATACACCATTTACTGAACACGTTTATTTTATATATATGCCGCCGTATACATAAATATATGCTTTCAATAATCTTTTTTGCGTTTGTTCCGCTTATTTTGCTTCTTTACTGTCCAGCGAAAAATTTTTTTGACCTAAAAGTGAAGGTGGTCACCCTGTACCAGCTCAGAAGTGAAGGTAGGGGAGAATCGGCTCCCACTATCGCACCTCTGCCCTCATCCCTTGGCTAACATATTGAAAACATGCAACATCATGTTGACATCAATATTAGCAGCCATTGTGCTGTTGTTAACGCTTCGTTGCATGTTGGCAACAGTTAGTGAGTACAGCAGCTCAAAAATCTTCTACTATTGTCCATCTAGACCCGCAGAGCAGGGCTAGATGGACGATTTGAATTTTTTTCTATCAAATAAGGTGTAAGTATCGTCTGCACCCCAGAGAGGTTCCCATGTGAACCAGCGTGCGTACGTGGCGCGACGCTGCCTTTCGCTCTTTTTGACACGTTTTTCCTGAGATTTCAAAGGAACTGCCCGAGGTTAGCACGTTCAAAAGAGCGAAAGGCAGCGAGATGACGTGATACCTATGGGAACCTCGCTGGGGAACAAACGGTAGATACAGTGAGTTTCGACCCGCTTTAGGCGGAAATTGGATTGGCGGGCGTCCGCCTCGCAACTGTTCGCGCCGTTTCGCAGCTACAGTATATCATATCGCGCTGAGAACCCAAGTCTGCGTCTCTTCATTCTCCTCAGTCTCTGCTCGGCAAAATGCCAGCGCTATGCGCTCGCGAAGCCTCCTGCGATGCGCACGCGCTGCTCCACCTAGAATCTTTCGCCTAATCCGGGATGAAACCGGCTGTATATGGGTCAGAGCATACATGGTTTTTGACAGTGATACACCACCGGAATGCATGAGGGCAGATTTGGCAGATGGAAGCTTAGTCTAACAAATGTGATATAGTCAGTTTAGTGGGTAAAGCCGACAACACGCGTTTAAGGCAGCATCCCGAAAATTAGGCTGAGACGGGGTCGCTTTTTATAGGAATTTCTTTTGAACCAAGCAGTCGTCTAAGTTTGAGGCTAAAAAACATCAAGGCCCGCCGCTTCTCCTATGTAATCTCCGTCGTGACGAGGGCGTTGCTTGTAGAGAGGTGAAGCCCCCCTTTGCGGGTTACTTTGAGTGCAGTACCCTGTCCCAGGGAGGCCGTTGTTGGGAATTGGGCAGTGGCCTATGAGAGTTCCCTCAAAGGCAGCAGCTCGGCAGATTCTCGACTTGAAGTTTTTTTTGCTTACCTGGGGCAATTCGAGGCGCTAATTCCGAAAATCCACCTTGAAGAGCGCGAAAGTGGCAAAAACCATCATTTTTCAGGGCCTTCCATTTTGAATTTGAATGAGTTGAGCACGTCCAGCCATGATTAGAGAGGCAGAATCGTTGCGAGACCCTCAGTTATAACATTGCGGCATGCTTTCTTTGACCGGTCAAGGAGAATCGCAAGCTCGTCCGCGCGTATTAATTTAACTTGCGCGTAACGGGATTTGATACCCGACCACCCGCTTGTGCCGCGCGGGGTGGACTATTAGTCGGGGCTTTAATTGCGCTGCGCTGCGCTGCAGTCCCTCCCGCTTCTCCAATCTCTCTCTTTCTCTAATTATAATCTCTCATCACCACGCTCTTAGGAGCGAAAGACCTAGATTGCATGCCGTTGCATGCTCACGAGGTGAAGCATTTTCTCCTTCTGTGCTTTATCTTCTACTCCTATCTTTGATCTTGCTAAAAAGTAAAAAGAGGTCCAAAAGTTCTTCGAACCACTCCAAATCGTTTGTAATGACATCGCTTCCGATATATAAAACTCTGCTTATATATTTTTTCTTTTCCTTTTCCAAATCCTGATTTTACGTGCGTGAGCTGTATGGATGTCGAAGATTATCCTTTGCCATGTAAAGCAATTGAGGTTGAAACTCCAGAATTGAGTGGTAGGGATTGGGATTTGGGATTTTTCTCGCGGTCACAAAGGGTTAAAATGGGAGGTCATTGCGGTCATTTTGGTGGTATCGACCAAATAATGATCATTTTAGTCAGTAATTGAAGGCGGCTTGCACGCGATTATGGGAACGGGCTCACAGACTTAATCCTACCATTTAGTCCGGCATGGAAAAAGGACAATTCCACTCATACACGCTGCATGCGGTGGCGGTTTGAAGTCATGTATTATAGACATTTCTTGCGGACAAGCAACGGACATCTCTTGCGATGAAGAGATGTTAGTCGTTTGCCCATAAAGAAGAGTAGTACCGCTTTCCGCAAACGGTCGGCTATTTTAGCTCTGACCTACAACATCCACCAAGGATAGGATAAGGAAGACAAGGTGGAAGAAAGCGTGGCTGGTCCACTACGTCTACTTGGTCGAGAAGTCACGGACAGCGCAACGTCACGAATGCACTGGTTGGCATGAGCAAGGATATCCTTGTCATCGAAGATGATCGAAGTTGAAATCGCCCAACTCAAGCTAAATGGAATCATCGCGGTACTAATTGTATATAACCGCTGAGGATGAATAAATGTATGTATGTAAAATGTATGTATTCAAAATAAAGTAGTGTCTAGTACCGCTCAGAAAATTGCATCGGCACAGCAACCATTAACTCGTATTGTGTCACAATGTCTAAGTTTGTAATCGAGAAGAAAACTGTACAGTTTGCATGTTTTCGTTGTTTTGTCTAGATTAGACCCATCCGAAACTAGGTTTTGAATTGTTTCGAAACCAGATTTCGAATTATCAGCAGTAGTACTGAATTCATGAACTGTTCCAAATGATCAAACTTCTTTTTAATTGGAATTTCGGTTTGTATTCTGCCATCCGAATTGTGATGTGCGGTCTAGGTCTTCTCGCACTTTTTTTTCGCACCTCGGCGGTGACGGGGATTGTACCGAGGGGAGACGGGGGAGGCGAAAGAGACTACAGCGCAGCGCAATCGAGGTTGCGTCGCGCCTCGCTAATTACCAGCCGGCGGGGCTGCAGGCGGCTGATCGGGTATCAGCCGACCGCCTCATTACGTGAGCGGTGGGCCCCATGCCCTAGCATGCCTATTTAAAATGTCCGCAAACTAGGGAGCGGGGTCTGGTAGGGGGACGAATATCTCGGCCGCGCGCCATCTACGTGGCCGCTTAGGCAGTGTCTTAGTCGGCTAAAATCAGTGCCACGTGCGATCTTCAGGTATTCAGATTTGCCTGGACGTTGCCTTCAAATCTACTAGACAAATGTTATTCCTTGAATTTGCATGATTTTGTGCTGTTTACTGCAAGTTCAGGTTGAGGACTGTAATTCTAGCGATACATTGGACGCGAGAGGTCTTAGGCCCGTATGCACGTACGTCCCCGCTGGGGAGGGGAGGGGAGCTGGATCCCCAGGGGAACGATCCCCTCCGCCGAACCCCGCCATGACAGAGGGGAGGGGAGCGATCCCCTCCCCTGCACCTAAGCGGGGATGGTGTGAATGATTTCAGAGGTATTGATCGAGCGAACCCCAGTGCATACGGGGTTCGAATGGGGGAGGGGATCCCTTCCCTTCCCCCACTCGAACCCCGTATGCGCGAATTCAACTCAATAACGCGGGGGAGGGGATCGACATCCCCTGCAACGAAGTAGGGGTTCGATGGTGTAGATCATGCCAGAGACGCGGATATTCTGGTTCTGCTCAGTCATTACCAAGCATTTCGTTCATTTTGATGGAGGATTTTCTTTGAAAGCCGGGTTCTTCTCTCAGCGACCTGTGGCTTGCAATTTGTCTTTCTTTTCTATATTCGCCTCTTGAGAAGAAATCCGAGCAACAATAGCTGCCAATTTCGATTATTTGTAGGAGTTCTTGATCATTCAGGAAATTTGCGCATTTTTCATATAACATAATAGTTTTAACTATATAGGCTGAATAAACACACTGTAACTTTCATATTTCATGACACGTTGCCATTATCTTGTTTTTTTAACATAAGCTGCCTCGAAAAAATCTAGAAAGTAGCATATTTGCCTATTTCTGAGTAGAAATCCCCGGGGAGTGATCCCCTCCCCAGCGTTCCCCTTGTGCATAGCAGGGATGGCTGCTGGGGATCATTCCCCTGGGATAAACGACGATATGCAGCTGATAGTTACAGCGTTTATGGAGAGCTGGCACAATTTGCAGCTTCTGTTATGTGTTAGAATACTGCTTTGAGCGTCCGCGCGGCACCCCCCCCTCTTCGGCAGCATAACGTCTTCTACTCATTCCCTTGCAGAGACACATCAACTTCTATAGTTCAACATTTTGACGCTGAAATGGAGCAGCATGAACGAAAGTGGGCAGCATCCAAGAAAGCAGGAACATAATGGGAGTAGAAAAAATCATTTTTAGCGCCCCGAGCGCAGTCACTCATACGCACATTCCGCAACCCTAAATTAATTGAAGTGAGGAGATGAAGATCAGTCAAAATATGAAATAAGAAAGAGTTTTTCATAGAAAATTTGAAAGCAAGGTGATCTCCCCGCTTGATCCCCTCTTGTGCATAAGAGGGTTCACTTCCCCTCCCCACAGGGGATCCCTTGTACGATATTGTCTTTGTGCATACGGGGGTTCGCGCGGGGAGGGGAGGGGATCCCTAGCGGGGATCATTTCAATGGTTAAGCGCACATCCCCTCCCCGCGGGGATGTACGTGCATACGGGCCTTAGAGGATTACAAGCGGCAGCTACAAGATGGTGGCCGCCTTCACCATCTTGCTAAAGCGTATGAAATTGTAAGTCGTTTTTCCATTTTTAGTCCAAGTAAACGTATTAACTTAAGTTCCACCTGAGATGACTTAGAGACAGATTCAAAAGTCATGCTTATGGCATCGGTCATACCTTGCACGGTTCCGCCCAGATGTATGCAAATCCACCGCCTTGGACTGCAGTGATTGGGCGCATAGCTTTTGTCAATGCAAACGTGCCAAGTCTTGCTTACACAAAGTGGGCCTACGGAAAAATAATCGTTGCAATGCCAGATTGCATGTCCGAATCGCGCGTATAGTCGACACCTATTGTTAATGTTCTTTTGTAGCTGCAACTATTACTACTTGAGCTCTTCTCCTCTGTTTGTGACAAAAACCTTTGTGTGGTGTGTGTCCTCTCATCCAACGGGGAAAATGAGCGGACGCATACAAGGTAAACATAAGACTAATCACTTGAAGTCTTTGCAGGATCATGAAATCCAAGATCTTCGCATTGCAATCAATCGACGATACGAGGCAACGGAGCAGCTGAAGAGATTATGTACAAAGAAGCGCCTGAGCCTATTAGAAGCAGAGGAGGACGTTAGAAAGAAGGTGAAATCGTAGATGTTCTCCATGTCGGAAAACTCATTTTCCTACAGGAAGCTCAGGTGGATTTCAATAAGGGGTTATTGACTTTGCATATCTACTGCGATAAGGGAGCATCTGTCTTGAACGCTAGAAGGTGATATTTGGCATCGATAGAAAGTTTTCGTTCGGAAGTTGAATTCTTTTAGGAAAGTGCTAAACGCGTTTGCACATGGGGTTGAGATGAGAAGACGAGTTCTTCTTATGGATATTTCGAAAATCTTACATATGGTCGTAAGTTTTTTGCTTTACTTGTAACCATTGTCGTGAACAGCAAATTCTTGCTTTTCGCGATTCCACCTCTTTATACAGAGTGTCCGTAAAGTATGTATGCACTGTTTCATCGTTAATAACTCTTTTCCCAAGAAGTCTTTTGCCTTGCTTCAGGTACCATTTTGTAGAGCTGGCTTCAACTTAGATTTACAGTATGGAGCGAATCACCCATCTCTCTTCGTTACTGTAGAATTACGGTGGAAACTTCAAAGAGGGTTTTGAGCCATGAAAGGCCATATTTTGCCTCAGAAAGGAAACAAAACAGCCTGAAAACTTTTATACTAGGCTAGTTAGAGTTGCTGATTTTAACTGTAAAGTTCCCAACTTATTATGGTGCTTCATTGAAGAGTTATGCCAGGTAAGAGGTAGTGGTCATTTTTTCATGTTCCCAAAAATTGCGGTTACACCGTTTAAAAAGCTTCGCAATCTTGCGAATGGTTGAGTATTGAACTCAGCGTCCGTAAAAACCCTATTACACAAGTTTTTACATTTTTTCGAGAAATTTTGAAACGGCAGCTTTTTCCACATTGACACCATATGTTCCAAGTTTCTACCGTAATCCTGCCGTAATGAAGAGAGATGGGTAATTCGTTTTATACTCTAAATTTAAGTTGAAGCCAGCTCTACAGAGTGGTACCTGAAGCAAGGCAGAAGACTTCTTGGGAAAAGAGATATTAACGATCAAGCAGTGTATACATACTTTACGGGCACTCTGTATTTTTGGCATACGTACGCCATTTCTTCAACAATATCACATTAGATTAGGGCCAAATCGCGGCGTGCGCTGCCAGATTCTGCAATAGCACAGTGGTGTGGCCATGTACTGATGGGAGTTGCTGCATATGGACTCGTGAGGAGAATCCTGCAGTTTCATAGGTTTTATCAAACATGCAGAGGTCGTTTTGAAAGGGACGCCTTAAGTCGACAATTACGCCGGATCCTTCGGTTGATGTGTCGGTTTATGAGACTCACTCTTTTCAAGCAATCTTTTACAATTGCTTTCTCTAAGTCCGAAATTGAACTCAAGGTGGTTGAAGGAGCAACCTTCGTGCTCAATACATTTGCTGAAGCTATGTGTTTTCTGAAGGTGGTACAGGATCCAAAAGATTTGACTGTAGAGAATCGATAACCAAAGTTGCGCCCTTGAACGTAGCGCAGATGAGCAAGCTTTGGAATGTCACGATCCCAGAAGCCTGCTCGATGGAGAAATTTTTGCATTTTTATTTAATTATCTATTATTCCCCACACTGTCGGATTCGCGGATGAATTGCTCTCTATTTTGCTGCAATTTATTGGAACAACCTCTTCTTGGCTGGGGATATCACCCACAACAAAATATGGGCTGAGTGCCACTGTGAGAAGCGGCATCGGTAATCTAGCTGAAGCAAACATGGCCTTTGGAAAACAGTGGTCCCGAGCTTGCGCACTCACATTAATGTCATCTCGGTGATCTTGTACGTTGTAGCCTTGTAAGATGTTTATGTGCAGTTAGAGCATATTTTGATAGTGATATAAAGACAATTTAATAAAAAAAAATTGCGCGACTCACACATATTTTTTAGGTGCCATCAACAAATACTATGACCGCATTCTTTCCTGAATGGCATGTTTGTGACAAAGAATTACAAAGGCTCTTTCTGGAAGAAGTGTGTGCTTCTGACTGCCATCCATGCGGTAATAATTTATGAGTTTCAAAACTTCAGGTGGTTCCTTCTTTATTATAATTGACTAGTTTGCAGAATAATTTGGAGCTACGTGACAAATGGGTATGCACGTTTTCGTAGGACAGCTATGTCAAGAATGAGCAAATGTTTCATTTGAGGTGAACTTCCCGTTTTTGATGCTATCGCTTTGACTGCATTAATCAGGTCTTCTTGTATTTTTTGTAGTTGTCAAGAAACAGAGTCTTCTCTTTTTTGAAGGTTCTATGGTGTGCCGGTCCTGTGCTATAGCCTTAGGGTTCCTTCATACTACGCCGCGCACGCCGCTGCAGCGCAATGGAAATATGCTCACGGCAGCAGAGCTCCACATTTTTTTATGTATCTCTATATTTGCTGCACATTCGTGTCCCTCAAAAGTGTTCCTTCACATTGTGCATTTCTTCCTCTCTTTTGCTTTGTTTATCCTGTCTATCCTTTGTCTGTATTAATGATTGATGGAATGACTTAGGTTGTTGTGCTCCCTCTACTTTTGAGTTTCACATTTATTATCGTAACTGACTGCACATTACGTCACCTGGTTGTATATTGGTAGTATGTGGCTGTTTGGTTGTATGTTGTATCTGGTTGTATATTTGCGCTGTTAACATCTCCTTACAAACACATCACTAGATGAAAAGGATTTCTCTTCTTCATACTGTTAGACTGCAATTGCAAATTTGATGCGCCGTTGTTGCCGCAGTTTGTTTTTTTTTCGCTCACAAAACATTATTCAAGTTTCGGCGATGACTTCAGCTACATTATACAGTCAATGCGGCAGAAAAAGACTCGTTGGTTTTGTTTTCTCTTTGGGTATTAATCTCACTTCATGTCTGTCGTTCTCTTGAAAGACACCTCACTGTGTTAGCTATCCTTCTGTGTCTGACTAAAGAAAGTTGTCATGGATGAGAGAAAATAACAGTGATCATGAGAAGGGGTGTGAGTATCGAATCTGATGAAGTAAAATCTCACTTGTAAAGTTTCACTTATGTTCTACTGCTAAAAAGGTGTACAACACATCTTGTTGATTAGAAGACGATTATGTAATAAGCAAGATTAGTAGCTGGAAGAAAAGTAGGCAGCAAGGTTGCTTTTCTTGGTCGTGTTGAGTATGTACTGTGACTAAAGTCAGCGCCGGAATCCGACGGATACGATCCGAGTGATTCCTGTACCGTTTTCGTATCGTCACAGCTCCGCCATTTTCTCACACCGTCTCCGCAGTAACATAAAGCGTGTCATTTTCAGATGAGCGTAGGTTGGCGTGACCTGCTGGCCGAGGAAATCGAAAAGGAACCCGTATTATGAGATTTCAACCATAGCGACTATTATCGAAAAGATAAAAAACGCCGCATGGGATCGAGTTTGTAATCGGCTTTGCTAACTGGGTTGCGATTGTGTAGGTGAGTTTATAGCACGCATTAATACGAAAGTGCAGAAACATCTCATTATAGTGCCGGAATCGAAAAAGGGATGGAAATCTATGCCGGACGCCCACAACAGGGATTTTGTCAACGTGCGCTATCAAAATATTCTTGAAGTTTTTGTGTATTACAGATGAGTCTCCCAGTACTCTTGAATCTTCTCCAAAGCCTATAATTTCTATACGATGCATTAGACGAAAGCTCATCGCCGTCTCCGTCTCCGTCCCGTCCACGGCGAGAATACGTGCGTCGAGAACATGTCCCCTTTTAGGACTCGTTATCGGATTTTTGACGAGTACTTGATCACCCGGAGACCCCAGGCGTTTTTGCAATTCATCAAGCTTCTCCCTGACGAGTTCGAGGACCTCTATGAAAGTCTTGGTGGTCGCTTGGAGCATTTCCGTACGCAGGCCGGCCCCATAAGTGGACGACATAGGCTAATGATTTATCTCAGGTGAGGAGGTACTCTACGACTCATGGCTACTTCGCAGTTTACGTAGTATATTCGCATATGTCACACAAGGAAAGTCTTTTTCCGCGTTTGCTTTAGACATTGGAATGGGGGTCTCGACAGCTGCAGCTATAGTAAAGGAGGTTACCGAGGCAATTCTAATTGGTATAGGCTTGAAGATTTTAATGCTCCAGTATCTTCACAAATTCAGTGCTACATAGACGAGCTTTGCCCCGCCTGACACGTGGTAAACTGAGGCAGGTTGCAGAGATGACGCAGGAAAGGTTTGATTACCCAAGAGCTGTAGGATTTCTTGATGGAAAACATATCCTTATAAAGGTTTTACTTCATAAGCAACTTCTAACATCTTTAAAAAATGCCATTTAGAAGCCTAAGCGCTCGGACAGCGCGTACTATAACTACCAACACTACCACTCCATCATCCTATTGGCTCTATGCGACTGCGAAAACCGCATCATGGCCTATGATGTGGGATCTCCAGGCCGCCTCAGCGATGCTGGAGTATTTCGCTCCTCGGAACTCAAGGTCCGTTTTGTAATCAAAAGTTTGGTGTTCTACATCAAGAAGTTTCACAGAGGTTTCTGGATACTCACGACGGTATATTTCCACCAACAGAGGACCTCGGTACCGTCGGTCCCGTCCAGTACCATATCTTAGTAAACGGTGGTTTTGGGCAAGGACTCAGGTTTATTAGGCCCTATACAGAGAGGGAAGCTACCACAAGGGATAAAAGGCTATTCAATCGGAAACTGAGCGGGTAAAGCTATAGCATATCAAGCTAATTCAAAACTTCCACGTAACACTTCAGTGCCCGACAAATGATTGAAGCGACCTCTGGCCTGTAGAGAATTTCAATATTACAGATTCTCCACAAATTGCTGCCTCGCAGACAAGGCGCTTTGGCAGGAAGGCGAAGGTTCGGACCGGCGCTACGCAATTCCTACGACCCTCTTCAGAGAGACGAGGCAGGTGCAGCAGGTGCACATGCTGGCGTAGAGATAGCTCATACAGCGAGAAATCGTCTCACACAGAATTTCGCAGAAACAGCAGAAACATACTTGCAGAGATGAAGTGATGGCTTTTTTAGATTCTTATTCGTAAATAATGATGCTAAAAATTGGACAAAAGATTCATAGCCTTTGTATCTATGCTCAAATTCTTTTTCTTTTTCCTCATAACAAAAGGGACATCGCTTTTGTAACTCACATTTCAACTTTTCTTCGATATATAGCAGATTACATCACCTAGCGGGCAAACTCTGCGTCACGGCAAGCATGAATATCTACTCCGTGGTTTCCATGACATGATAGTTATCTCAATGTAATCTTTTTCTTCCTCTATATTTTTGCCCAACTGACTTTGTGCAACATTCTGCTTTAATCTTCCCAAAACTGAGAAACGGTTTCCACATGGTGCTGTATTACTATTTGTGTCTTGCGCTTGCGTTTTTCTTGACAATCGTGTATATAGACTTTATCAATGGTCAAAGGCACTTACTGCCTAAATGTAAAACTTGACTGCAACATACTTTGAAACATAAACGTTCTCGAAAGGAGAAATCAAGTAAGATGTTAATTTGCATGACTCACCAACTCACGGCATTTCTAAGTAGGGTGGCTTTAGAGGATGAACTGATCTCAGGCTCCGAGCAATTCATCATAAGAGACTTTAAGCAGCAAAATACTGAAATCAGATGGATTGAAAAGGAGTCAAAACTTCTCAACTTCTTACCTCTTGACAAATTCTCGCAGGATCTTGCGCGATTTCCAGCAAAATCGAGGTCACAATCCCATGCGAACTTTGTAATGCATATAGAACCCAATGAAGCAGTACTGCAAAAAATAGTACCTCATGAGTAGAAATGACCAAAGTAGAGCATTGACGAGCATAGCATCTACGCCAAGCAGATGTGCAACGATGAGATTTGCAGAAGTGTGTGATATTATCTCATCTCTAGGCAATTCTGAAAAGTTCTAAGTCAGACATAACGAAGTCTGGTTAGAGCTGGAGCTGCTAGAACTAACTGCTAGAACTCATCTAATAGAGCTTTGACGATATAGAGCAAACCAAGTTTATGTGATCAGATTTTTAGAAAATGGCTTGAGCAACACCCATTGCCATAGTCTATTCCAGAAGGAATCCCTCCATTTTGTCATTTACATTGCATCTGTTATACAGAAAGTAATCAAAGCGCAAAGAAAGAGACATTCCAAAAAACCAGAATCGTTTCTAAACAGTACTCCGTCAAGAAAAGTGTTCCGATGTGAAAATGAAAAGAAAGCACGAAAACATAAATGTAGGAACTCAAAACTTGACGCACGTCAACATAGGTATCCTTATTGTCTTTATGTACTTTTATCAAATCTTCTTGCACCATATTCAACTGCTCCAGAGTGTAAGGATGTTCCGGTTTATTGATTCTCGAATAAGTTTGAAGCATCAGCAGGATCTTCGACGGATTCACCCCTAAAAAAGTCAGTGAACATGTGAACTCTTTGATTGCCAGTATCGTCATTTTGATCGTGATATGTAAAAAAGGAGAGTAAGGAGAGAAAATGTCTACAACCTGTCACTCCGCATTCACAATGTTAACGTATCTGAGGTCAAAACTGTACAGAAATAAATGATGAAATGACGCTCGTATTAATAAGCAATTATAGAGATATTACCCGGCTCCGCCCGGCCCTGTCAAAAGCCATAAAGGTTCCATTTTTATCCCTGTACACTTTTACCTGTGCACACTCCTACATGCAATTCCCTATTCCCGCTGTGTGAGTAATCAGTATGCTCACCTACCTTCCTCACCAACCCCTCCCCCTTGTAGCTCAAACTTTGCAAAAAAAACCAATAAAATCGATAAAAGTAAGGATAATTCTAAAAACCAGTGGCGGTCCGAGGGGGGGGGGCGGGGGGGGGGGGGGGGGGCGCGCGCCCCCCCCCCCGAGAATGGGTCGCGAAATTTTTGAAACTTACCTATGTGGATTATAAAAATGCGCAAACGACTTGTTTATTTTTGTAAATAATTAAAGTAATTTTTAAAAATTTTTAAAAATTCAGATTAGCCTTATAAAAAATTATTTTTCGGGGGCGTGGCTGACGCCACGCCCCCTTTTTCCAGATTTTAGGGGTTGGGGACCCTCAAAAATTTTGAGAAGTGCTCCTAAAATTTTTTCGGAGTGCGTGGCTAACGCCACGCACCTTCATTTGAAAAAAAAATTTCCGCCCCTCCCCCGATCCGAAATCCTGGGACTGCCACTGCTAAAAACCGATGGCGTTATTCGGCTGTCCGGGCCTTAAAATGTTTTTGTGGTGGGTCTTGCTCAAACTCGTTATGTGGGGGTTATTCAAGCCGCTGATGACGAATATCGTAGTCATTTCGCGTGGCAGCAGGTAAAAATCATAAACCTGCCTGAAACCTTGGCAGAAAATTACCTAAAGTGCTGTTTCAAGAATATCGTGCTCAATCCCCACGATAAAGGCAGTTCGTGTGTTATAAAAGTTTCCCACGTCCGTAATGCTTTTCTTATAGGACCACTGCCGCGCGCGAGACACCCTTCGGCGGCTTTTGCCTAAGCAAAAACAGGGGGAGGGAAATTTGCCGCGTGCATTACGCGTTGGGACAGGTTATCAGGATGGCGCTGGAGACCGCTATGCAAAACGACCGTTTCCCCATCTCTTGAATATATGGGATCTAAAATGGCCCGAAAGCGAAAAAAAATGTCTAGAATTCTGCAACTCACCATAACTTCACTATTGCGTAATGACATAGAGCAAGCATCATATTCATAAGCGATATACTTGTGAACCGTTACAGGTAAGATTTTGAGCAAATCTGGAACTTCGACCCATCTACACCCACCGTAACCCAAGAAAATGCACTATCCTGCGAAATCAGCATGATAATCATGTTCATCGCGCTAAATGACCACCCTAGACGAAGTTTAGAGTAAATCTATGTTTTCGACCCCATGCCATATAACCACCACATCTCTATGAAAAGGTCCCAATATGCAGAGAGAGATGATATTCGTAATTAGCATGTCGAATAAGCCATATGGACCAAACTCCAGCCGAATTCATGATTTTGACTTCCTATCGTACACCTATCGTAACCACACAAGAAGACGTTCTGCGGAGAAAGTGCGATATCTGTAATCCAGCATGTAAAGGGCCGGGCATACTTCACGCAATTTCAGTCGCGACGCGATTTGGCAATTCGCCAGAAGTCTTCGGATCCAACATTAGCAAACTGCACATGCTTAGTGTGTATAACTCACATAAACTGATGAAATGCCTATCTTCTGTACATTTATAATGTGCTTACAATGAGTTATGGACACCTGGAATATTGCCAAATCGCGTCGCGATTGAAATCGCTTGAAGTGTGCCCGGCCCTCAAAGGCACCGTCCACCCAGATTTTCGACTTCCACGTTTTTGTCGTTTCAGGGCCTTCTCATGACCCTGATTCCGATTATGAAGTCGTGAATGCGCGAAAACCCCGACATTGCCGTTCCGGAGGACCCACAGGCCGGCTTTCCGGAGCGGCGGTGATTGGATGGCGCGCACAAATGGGCGGTCATGGAGGAGGGCGGGCATGGATGGGGGTCCCCGTGCATCTTGGCTATTCCGAAGCGATTTTCTCGCTTCCGAAGCGGCATTTTGCGCCGCGACTTGGGCATTGGATTGATAGTGGGCCCTATTATCATAAGCTACCAAAAGCTCAACACCCTCAACTTAGGGTGGACGGTGCCATTAAGATAACCCTTATACACGAAGTTTGAGCAAGCTCTACGACAAAAAAAATCTTGGGGCCCGGATAGCCGAATGGCGTCAAACTAATAATGTACTCGTAATCAACATGCTCGATTACCCCACTGTGCAAACTCCCAGCCCCGTAGGTCAAACTTTCCAAAAAAAATCGATAAAATCGACAAAAGTAATCGATAATTCTGAAAACTAATATTGTACTCGGAGTCCCCATGCTCGAGTACCCCCTGTGCCAACTCCCAGCCCCGTAGGTGAACTCTGCAAAAAAATCGATAAAATCGATAAAATCGATATCGATCGATGATGGAATGTAGCCTATGACATCCGCCGGGGCCCGAGGTGTATGTGTGCCAAGTTTGGTCCGGATCGGTTCAGAAATGGAATTTTCTATTCGGAACATACGTACAGACAGACATACAGAGACAGACATACAGACAAACAGACATTCAGCTTTATATATAGGATCAAAAAAGTGGAGCTCTGCTGCCGTGAGCATATTTCTATTGTGCTGCAGCGGCGTACGCGGCGTGCGCGGCGTAGTATGAAGGACCCTTAGGCCGGATCTTTAAACTGATGTGTCATTTTTTGAGAGTCACTCTGTTTCCAGTCCTAACTCATGATAGTTGCCTTTTATGAATAATGCAGTTATTTTGCAGCTTTTTGCCTGTATCTCTTTGTATCGTAATTTCCCGTTCAGTCTTTATCCGTGGAATGCATTCCTATTTGATTGGTCCCTTTTCAGCCTTGATTAAATTTTTGCTGCGTCTTAGTTCTTAAACTTGCATTCATTGTTCAGATTAAGTTAAGCTCGTTAAAGCCTTACGCCCATCATTAGTACCATTAGTACATTACTACTCGACCATCTTATCAAAGAAGATGTGCAAAGTGAGTTAGTTCGCTTTCTTTGAATTTTCAGTGTCACGCTATTGTTGGACATTGTGACCACAGTTTATTCTTTGTGCATCCAACGCAAGGTCCTCATGGTTCTCTTTG